AATCAATCAGTTTCTTAAATAAGTGTATAAAAAAGATTTATAAAAAGAAAATAATGAATTCAGTCCAAAAACCTCTCAAATTGCAGAGCAAATCTGCTTTAATTTAAATAAATTCTCATTCACAATTTGTGATGCAAAATGTAAAAGGAAAAATGTGCAGAAGGATCAACGAGATTTCTATGAATATTATTCTAAAATGAAACCATTACGTTTCATTTCTATTTGTAAAGTAAAAATAAGAAAAAAATATATTTATAATTCAAATAATATTTTGATTGTTTGGGGGTTAGTTTGGAGTAAACATAACTTATTAATAACGACAAAAAATGTTGGTATTGCATTGGATGTACTGTGTCTATGGATTTCTATGCTTTATCTCTAGTTATGAAAGGGTACGAAGCTTTAAAGCGGGGCTGAAAAAATATTGTTTTTATAAGTAAATCACAAAATTAAATGTCATATACTATGTATATAAAAGCATCTACATTCATAAAATTATAGAAAATGTTACGAAACGGGAGATTCCGAGTGAGTTTAATCCACGTAGTCGTTACTCGTTTGCTCGCAAACCGGCGTCGGTTAATTGGAGGAGGCTCGAGGGCCGTCGTAATTGAATCGTGTTCAAATGAACCGTCGGCTGCTTACATTTTAATTCCTGACAGTCCAACTCAAAGCACGACTCGACAATACGCCATTTATTCAGAAAAAATATTGTTTTCAACGTTATTGAACTTTTACAATTCATTATATGTTTATTTTTATGATCTCCATATATTTTTGATCTTTATCAGACATAAACTACATACTTTATTGCCAGATTTAATTACAAGTTTTTCTAAATTTCGAATAAAATTTAAATAAATTGAAAGAGCAGATAGTAAGTAGAGTCAGGCGCTTAAGTTTTTTTTTATATCATAAGGTGACAAACGAGCGAGCGGCCTCTTGAAATCGTTGAAATAGAGAAGTGACCGTTGCCCATAGACATACGCAATTGCATATGCGTTGTCTACCTTTAATCGACGGAGGAGAGGATGCACGGAAAGAAAATATTTTCCCCTTCCATGCATCCTCTCATCCGGAAAGTCCATTTCCACTTCCCATCCTTTCCTTATGAGAAAAAGGGTGTTGTCTAACTTGATAATAATAAATCCTGTAGTCCTTAACTAAGTATGTTATAAAATTAACCATAGTATATTTGCATTAATAGAACAATATCACAGGCAAATATCAGAGAACAAAGAAGGTTAAGGATTACATGTTATTTTTTTAATTTAGTTCACCCTACTTAACTAGGCTGCCAATCTATTCAACTAAAAATGACCTAATCTAATTTAAAAATATAATTAAAAACGCACAGATTAAAAAAATACTAATCTAGCTGTGACACAAATGTAGGCAGGTCAACGCTTTAAACGGTCTAATGCACGAACGTTCATGTATTCTGTTACAAATGCGATGATTGCCACCTAATTGCTCTATTTTCTGTGTAAATACAGGGCACGTCGTACAACGGTAAATTATTAATGGAAATTATTGGTTTTCATAATGTGCTTACGAATCGTTAAGAAATTTGAAAGGTTAATAAAGCATTTAGCTTATAATTACGTTTATAAAATTGTAGGTAATAAACTATCTAATTGATAATTGTCATCATCAACCTACCCTCATACATATCTATGGAGGGTGGGCATAGTATGTACTATTCCATACATCTCTATCATCCGTCATATCTGAAACCACTTCTCACGCATATCCTTTTTCACAAATCCATCCTTACATTCTTTGGTTTATCTTTGTAGCCATTCACATTCAACCTCATAACTTTATAAAAATATATTAAAGTAAATATATTAACTAAGCTGAAACTAGTAAGTTGCAGAGAGTGTATAATAAGCTACTATGTTGCTATTTACGTGCAATAAGCGAACTCTGGAGCGAGTAAGTGTTTCAAACTTTGTCAATTAAGAGCCGTTTGCAATGTGACAGAGTTTAATACAGTTATAATGTAAGCAGCCGACATCCGACGGAGTCATTTGAACTTAACTTAAATATCAAACGTCTTCAGTTTCCTACAATTAACCAGAGTCCGAACTTTAACGGTTTAGGAAACTAAAGTTAAACTGCTTTTAATTAATATGTATCTCTTATAATTCGATGACGATGATAACCCTTCGCTCATTTTTACCATACGACCATAGATTCCACTCCATCTTGAATATCTAGTGCAATTTATAACAATGCGAGGCAATAGACATTTTAAGAAGAAAATATTAACAAACCCTATCTCTTTATTTTTGTATTTCGATCGTAAAAGATAACACTAGCTGTCGCCCGCAACTCCATCCGCGAGGAATTAAAAAATAAACTTAATTAGTAGACTATACGTTCTTCCAGACTATATTCAACGTCTGTGTCAAATTTCATCAAAATCTGTTGAAACGTTCCCGAGATAGCTTCTAATCTATAATAACATCTATCCAAACATGTAAGCATTTGCATTTACAATAAAAATAATACTTTACACCTAACACCCTGCCCTTATCACTACGGAGGGTCGGTACAGTATATACTACTCCTCCATACATCTCTATGAGCCGTCATATCTGAATTAACCCCCTTCTTGCCCATCTACCAAATCCATCCATCTTTTGCTAACCCTCTCCCTAACAACATTAATACATAGACACAGATGAAATTAAAGTTATTAAGCAGTTTTTAATAAGCCATCTAATAATAGACTCGATAAAATCTTCAAAATAAATTAAAATATATTAAATGTTGATAAAATTTCATTTCAACTGCTCAAGTGCTCGACAAATATGTTTGCTATGGTCGCGACTTTCGCTCGAATTTGAAGCACTTCAATAAAATTTGGGCGATGGTAATGCAGCAGCACTGACCTAGAAGCCGCAGCGATCGACCTGACACACAAATTGAACGTTGTGACTAACTGCACATACAAAAGGTATATATCGATTCCGTCAATTCCCTAGAGGACACTTCTATACCGTTGAAATTCCTTTAATTTATATTTATAGTTGCATTTGAAATTGACATGAAATTTAATTTCAGATTTTATGTTATTACTGGCTGTTGCCCGTATTAAAAAAAACTTAGTAGCCAATGTGTTCTAGACTATGTTCTACATGTGTGCCTTTCATCAAGATCATTTGAGCCGTTGCGGAGAAACATTCTAAACGTCCATCCATCTAAACTTTCGCATTTATAATAGTAGTAAGATATATTTATTTACGGTGAAGGAAAACATCGTGATGCAACCTGCACATATCTGAGAAGTAATTCAAAAGATATGTGTGAAGTCAACCAACCCGCACTTGGCCAGCGTGGTTGACCATGGCCTAGTCACCCTTAACTTAGGGTAGGCTCCGAGCCCCTCGGTGGGGACGTACTGAGCTGATGATGATGAAGATATATTTCAGTTTAAGTACGAATCCCGGACAATCCTAAGTTTTACCGATAAAACCTAACCAGTTATAGTATAATTCCGAAAAGCTTGATGAACAACCCAATAATATTATGTTGGAACGGCTCGTGAACGGCTGCATAGATGGTAAAATAGTCTGGAAGAACACATAGGCTACTAATTTTTTATTAGCACGCGGACGGAGAAGAGAAATTACACATTACACGTCATTAAATAACTATTGATTAGATAATGAGAGTTTTATTATGATAAATGCTTTATAAACGTACATGTACGTCAAAATAGTAAACATATCAAGCAATATGAAACTGGTTTTATTTGATAATAACCAATGTTTGTGTGGTAAACATTACTCGTACGTTATTTTAATTAGAAGTCTTCATAGCTCATTGAAGCATAACCGACAATTACGATAACATGTGCAATTGTAAAATTGTTTGGTGATTCACCAAATATAGACGAATTAATTTGTAATAGAACTTTCTAATTAAAATTTTAACATTGGTAGAGTCCGCAGCAGTGTTTAGCCAACATCAAAAAGTAGAAGGTTATCAATTTGTTTGTATTTTTTATGTATGTTCCCCTAAACTCCGTTCCTAGTGCTCCGATTTAAAAAAAATCTTGTTACGTAGCATTTTGTGGAATAATAGCTGTCGCCTTCGTCGGGGCGGAATAAAAAAAACGTAATTAGTATATGTTCTTCCAGTCTATTGATACCCATGCAGTCGTTCTGGAGATACCTTCAAACAAACGTCCATAGATCAATCCTTTGAAAGATTTGGAAGATTACTTTTTTTTTAATTTATAATTTCACAAGACAAAAGATGTCTTAAAATCAGTATATTAAGTACATTCCAATAATTTTTAATAAATTGTTCAGAGTTGAATAACATATTCCATAATGTTTTATTAAGGTAAAACAATATTCGTAGAACTTCAATATAAATGTATATAGCTAGAATTATTTCGTCTGGACCACCACAAAGCAAGGGTCGTTCGCTCCATGAAAGAGATAATAATCACAAAGACCATACCGTCTTTGTGAATTCACAAACAATAATTTAAAACCTTAGAGTATTGAAGCTGTTGAAACAATAGGAAATTAATGTACATTGTTCTTTCTAAAATTAGAAAGATATTTAATTCATAATTAAAATATTAAAACATAATTTAAAAAAAATATTTATTGTCTATGACGTCAAATTAAAATAGTATTTAATTGATAGACAATTAAAAAAACAAATAATATTTTTAATAAACACTTAAAAAGCAACAATCTTTTTTTAACGTAATGTTTAGTTTTTCAAATCCGTAAACATAGTCTATGTATAGCCTTATGTAGAATCTTGAATTATTTAAGTAAATAAGCATTATATTATTGTTACAAATCAGACGTATAACATTAATACGCATTGTTATTTTTACGGCAACAAAATGGGGAAGAAAAAACAATATCTCGCACGATTTTATCAATATAACACGCGTTCAATATAGTTCAAATATTTTTTTCCAAATAAAATTATAATTACAAAAATAATTTTATAATGTAACTTACCTTATTACGCACACCTCGCCTCTAACCAAGTCCCTGGCACATGCCTAGCTGATATTAAAATAAATATATTCACGAATTTAATATTTTACTTTTTTTTTATTACTTTATAAATATTGGTATATAACTGAATATATACGACGGTCGCAAACTCGGTGGGACACGACCAAATCGCTACAGCGCGCGCGGGGCACTGACCAAGGCTTGCTAACTCGCACCCCGCTCCTCCCTCGCAAAGATTATTACAGCCTGAAAAAGTAGACGTACAAATAAGTAAAAACTAATACTTACTAATTCCTTTTCTTAGTATTTTAACAAATATATTTAAAAACCAGTGGTTATTGCTGTTTAGTAATTTTATTTGATGTAAAAATGTGATATTTGTATCTTTATTACATACCTTCCTCAAACCAATTAAAATCAGAAAAAGAGAAAATAAAGAAAAGGCATGGAGGTATTCCTAGCCTTACTCATTATATGCGAAATGAAAGAATACGAACTGGCGCAGCGATCCAAAGTGGGTCTTGGCCAAGCACTTAGTAAGTAAAATCTCCAAAGGTTGTAGGCGTTACTTAATCTTTGCCCGTCGACGAGGGCGGGCGGGTATTCGATATATAGCGGGGCTCCGGAAGCCTCCCGTTCGCCGTTTACGGACCTTTGTTTTGCGAAACGTTGATAATCTGTGATCACTTGAACGCTCGCACAACGCTACCACCGCCTTCCTTCCTCCTTCCTTTAACCATCCTCCACGAACAAATATAATATTACAATTAAAATGATGAACAAAGGAGTATTTAATTAGATATTTGAAAGTAATAAAATAAGATCGGAAAATTTTAATTTGCAAATCTTCAGTACAACTAAATATAAATCAACTTGACTGATCGAAAGATATGCTAACAAAGTTAAATAAATTAACAAAGACTACCCGAAAGCACCGGCTATGGTACTATTCCATTAGATGTTAAACTTTCAAAGGAAGTAAGTACGATTTGTAGAAAAATCTATCACTAAAGTAAGTCGTAACAAGGAAACGTTACTACGAGGAATTCATTTCTTAAATGGACAGAGGAGTTTCTAGGAACGCCTTTAATGTATTTTCCTCAAAGTGTTCCCTGTCCCTGTTCCCATATATCATTCGTTCATCGTTCAGCATTACATTCACCATTCACCACACGAGGGACGATAATTTGCCCAACTTATAAAAAATCGGAAACGATTCTTTACGTCATTAGTTTTATTTAATCTAAAATATTAATCAACTTGACTGATCCAAAGATATGCTATCAGAGGTAAACAAAATAACAAACTCTGCCCGAAAGCATAATAGCTGCGAGGTCCGCAGCAACATTCGCCTCCCAGCTCCGCACCTCACGCCTCGCTGCATACAGTACAGTCTTTTTTTAGTTTTACAGAATTTACATTTTTTTTTATCTTTCTCGTCTCATATCAATAAGAAACTTGAATATCGTGGAAAATTATAATCAGAATACAGACAATTTCTCTATAAATAATTAATGCAATTGAATTAGGAAATGAAACGCTATTACACTACAATAAGATATGGACAGACGATTGAAACCAAAGTCGAGAAGCAAAAGTTCCGGCAATAACTTTCTCTTTAATAATGTCTAGGTTTGCGGCAGGAAATGAAACCGTCCCTCACGAGCAAATGATTGAAATGTTCCATTTACTTTTACAACTTCGTAACCTAAATTATTATAAATTTATCAATAAAAGTTTTTTAATGAATCAGAGGGATGGTAAATAGTAATTCCTTATTAAGAATTTAAAGTTTTTCTTTTAAGATCAAACTTAAGTGTTAGTCGTATTCTTGAATTAAAACTATTCACATATCCATAGATTTAATTGTAAAGTTTCACTGTTCGGTTAAAACTGGACGTCTGGAGCGGACTTTAGGATATTAGATTAGGAGTATTGTAAAGTTTATTTGACTTATATATATTGTCTTCGGTCATAAAACGGACGTTACTTGAGATAAGTCATAAGCTCCAACAGTAGCATTTTATTCTGAATATTAAGTAGTTTTGTAGTGTAGTAAAATAAGGTATTGTCACAATATAACTTTAATAATTTTGGATTAATAAAATGGCAAAAAAGATTTATCCATCATAATTTTTCAAGCTTGTAGTTCCTGTCATGATAATCTAGAGTTACATCTGGGAAAAATGTAAAATGATTCCTAATTTTTAATGACGAAAATTTATATTTCAACTTTGCTTACGACTCCTTTAACAGTATCATTTCATTATTAAAAACTTCGATGAAATAAGCGTGCGGTAATTAAATGTAAGTTAAATTGAACACAAACAGAGAGGTTAAACTTCGCTTCCGTTAAAAGTGGGAGGGACTAAGTTAAACAATCTTTATCGACTTAAAATTTTGAATCTGAACGAAACTTTCATCTTAAATATTTCAATTGTTTGTTTGAAGTAGAAACCTTGTAGTAACCATCCTTAAAGTAGTCTTTATCAAAACTCCCTTACCTTAGGTGTTACGAATGCATATGAATTAATAATAATTATAAATACCTATAGGCGAATTCTTTAACATTTTTTTATATATTATAAGATGGCAAACTAGCGAGCGGCCACATGAAATAGCGTAGTGACCGATGCCCATAGACATACGCAATTGCATATGCGTTGCCTACCTTTAATCGACGGAGGAGAGGATGCGCAGAAAGAAAATATCTTCCCTTTCCATGTATCCTTTCATCCGGAAAGTCAACTTCCACTTCCCATCCTTATAAGAAAAAGGGTGGGAAGGGAAAGAGGAAACATGATATTAAGACGCTAAACTAAGCGTGTAAATAAAAAAATGCTTTTAACTCAAAAACAAGAAATCAAATATGTACTTATTGGTTTTCACTTTAATTTTCTTCAAAACTTCGTGTGATGTAAACACTTGTGAATCTGACTTTTTTCTTTTTTATTAAAATAAACATGGAAACATCTATGTCGAAGAGAAATGCAACGAAATAGAGCCTGGAGTACGTATGTATTTATGTACATATATTTCGCACGCTCGGAGCTCGGTATACCAATTGCCTTTAGACGGGTTCCCGAATTTCCGTTTCCGCTAAAATCCGGACCCTGAAATCTGAGAAAAAACCGTTTCCTGCAGGGGAAACTGTTTTGAAACAGATACAAAAGTAACACAGGTTTCTTGTTGTTTATTGACAAAGATTGCTTAGTCTTTTCACTTTGTTACTATTTTACCTATTGTCCTATAAATTAAGCTTTGATATCTCGAAAGATTGAAAACAAACAGTCTGCTATGTAAAGAAAATTAGGTTTTTCATATAACTAGAAAGTGTCGTTCAATTCCTATTTACTTCTACAACCTGAGACTTCTTTTCACGATGATACTCACTTCTATTAAATGTCCAACATAAATTAAAAAAAAATCAACATTCAATAGATAATTTATTTGAAAGATTTCAAAATGTTAAAGGTTTTTTTTTACTATTTCAATTTACCTTCAAAGATTCATTGATTTAGATGAATTGATCTCTCTATTTCAGTCTACATCGCTCTGTGATTTTTTGTGCGTCTAATACAGCTGTCTGCGAATGAAAACCCAACATCGGATCCGCATTATCTCTTGCATTCGGCTTCACGTCCCGTCGCATCAAAGAAACCATACCCACTGAAAGACTTTTTAAGGCAATCGCATCGTACTTTAACCCTACTATTAAAACTCACTCGAAAACAAGTAAACTCGAATAAAACTCGTAGAAATTATTTCAACCACTTACCCTTTCTTGCATGTTAGTAAAACTGTGTTAGTTTAAAAGTTGACAGGGTTAGTAACACTAAGAACTCAACAAAAACATTTTATGTACGACTAAGCTTAGGTACATAATTCCCTAAGCCTACACGCACACTTCATGTCGATTGATAGCCCATATTAATTAAGTAGACACGTCAACTTCACATGCACTGCATTCTTGTTAGTAATTCATAATTATACGTAAACATAGACAAAAAGTCTCTTATTTTTACAAATCAATAAATTAAATTGAATGGTCGCAAGTATTAAACTATCATACAAATGGTAGGGGCAAGATGAAACGTTCAGTTCATCCAATTTCACCGACGGAGAGACGGGCCTTAGAATAGCAGCAGTGTGCGGTGCAGTAAACTTGTTAGACAGCGCGCGGTTATAATGAACCACAATTTGAATAGCTAACATCATTTTGAGGTTGTTTTGGTGAATTTCAAATCATAAAATACTGAGTTAATGTACCACCAATCAAAGTTTGTTTTAACTTATTCATACACGAATTAAAAAGTTACACTACTGAAGAATCAGGTCTTATTAAACTTATTACGTCACAACTACAGCCTTTTTAAATATGAATACTGGTGAAAGATGTAAAGTAATGAATTTAACAACTAGCTGTCACCCGAGAGTCCGTCCGCGCGGTTTTAAAAAAAGCTAATTAATAGCCAATGTGTTCTATATTTTTTCCAAATTTCAGCGAGATCCACACAGCCGTTCTGGAAATACCTTCAAACAAACATCCATCCATCTAAACATTCGCATTTATAATATTAGTAAGATAGACGTCCACGTTACGTAGCCATAGCTTTTATAACTTGTAGAGCTGTTAGCCGATAGGGCAACGATGTACCAATAGTAGATAAAACGAACTAAGTGAAATTCGATCAATATTATATTCGAAAATAGTTATGTATAACTTACTAACCCTACTAGCTACCCAAAGTGGACTTGACCTCCTTAGGTAAATTTAATTTTTGTTTAATTAAGTTAAATAACGAAACAATACATAGCGGTATTTATAAAGTTTTCATAGCTTGTAACTTATTTTAAAATTTACTGAAATATCGTACAGCTTCACATACAGATTCAGTGCATCCAATTTCACAGGTGCGGTGAAAGGCGGGATTAAGAGCCGGAATATGTAGCGCACAAAGTTGCGACATAAGCCCGGCCGCGCTCTGGAGAATTGTGAGGCGTCTGGAAACAGTTCGTGTTTATTTCGTTACTATTTTTATAGCATCTTACAGTCTGAAATAAGTACTTATTGGTAAATATACGATAAGCTCCAAGTAACAATTTGGTTTCACGATTCGAAAAACATAACTGATTGAAAAAATATTCATCATTACAACAAGGAT